TTTTTAAAATTTTTCTTACAAATTACTCTATATATAACTTTATTATTTTTAAATGTTTCGCTTAATGTTGTAAATTTATAATAGAAACTATTCTTATATTTATATGGGATTGTTACATTTAAATAATGACAGGAATTTGTAAAATCATCTATATTTAAAAATTTATTTACACAATATTTTTTTCTTTTTAAAAAAAATTTATTTGCCTCTTCAATTATTTGCTTAATACGTAGTTCTATTATATTTGATATTTTAGTAAAACTGGAATCTTTTTCAAATATTGTTTTTTCATTAATTATGTTATAACAGATACCTATATTCTTAATAAAATCTTTACTTATAAAAGAGTGATTAAATCTTTCATCATTTACATTTTCATTAATAAAATCATTAATACCTGGATTTATTGTGCTATTATTTTCATCATTTACATATTTTTTTTCATTTTTATCATCTTCATCTATTTCATCAAATGTTATATTTTTCTTGGATATTTTTTTTTTATCATTTTCAAATGTTAAATTAACATTATTTGAAAAATTCATCATTATTCATAATTTAAAATATAATTGAAAAAATAGAAAATTATTAAAAATATTTATTGAAACAAAAAAAAAAAAAAAAAAAAAATTCAACTGAAAAAATAAAATATTTTAAGTTTTTACATATTTTTAAATAAAAGTGTACAGCAATTTACAAAAATTCACTTAAAGTTTTTTATAATTTTTTTTTTAATAATAATTTATTTTGATTCATTTTTGGAAAAATTTTTGTTAAAAATTTATGCATATATAATTATTTATAAATATATATATATATATATATATATATATATATATATATATATATATATATGAGAAATTTTGAATTATTTTTTAAGACCAATAAAATTTTATAAAAGCATGAAAATTTTTATATCTTAATATTTATTCGAAAATGTATAATTTTCTTATTTTTTTGAAATGGTTAAAGATATTTATATTTTAAGTATCCTATAAATCAACAAAACTGTAAATAAATGTTATTATATAAAAAAAAAGTATAACATAAAACAAAAAAAAAAAAAAAAAATAAAATAAAATAAATAAATAAATAAATTAGTTTATAATTATCATTTTAATCTTATTTTATTTTCTTTGTTTAATTAATTTTATTACTTAATTTGTATGTGAAAAATATTAAAAAAAAAAAAATAAAATAATATTAAAATTTTAATTTTAAAACATTTTTAAGTTTAAATTATTAATTTTTATATCAAAAATTTATTTTTTAAAAGCATATAAAAAAAAAAAAAAAAAAATTAAAAATTTTTTTTCTTATACTTTAAAGTTTCTATTATATTAATTTTTCTTCTAATCCAGTATTTTCCGAATTCCCATTTGATTTCATCCTAAAAATTTTAAATAAAAAATATTTTTTTTAAAACATCTGAAAAAAATATAGGGATATTTTAAGGCTGTATAAAAAGGATATTTATAATTATATTTTTTTATATATTAAAAATGTGTGTAAAAGTCTATTACTTTAATTTTTGAATCATTTTTATCTAAATCGTTTTTTATTTCTGTAAAAAAAAAAAAAAAAAAATTGGATGATGTAAAAATATAATATGTTATAAAAAGTAATGAGCTTATTTAATAATAAACCTTGTTTGGTCATTTTATAATCATATAAAATTATTCTAATAAAAACAGGAATTTCATTCATTTGCTTATCCTTAGAAAAAAAATATATTTAAAAATAATAACATATAACAAAAAAAAAAAAAAAAAAAAAATTATATTAAAAATTATATTAAAAATTATATAAAAATCAATATTAAAAAAAAAAAATAGCTATAAGAGAGTATTAATTATTATATAATCTTATATATACCATAATTTTATTGAACATAGATATTAATATCTTGTCTCTATAACACAATTTTTTTAAAAAAGAACATATATAAATTGGATATAGTTTTCTCCTTAAGCTATCTTTTTTATATTGATTTGAAAAAAAAAATAATTTCCATTCTAATCTTGGTATATGACCCCACCATAAACTACCACCTATTCTGTTTATATCACCTAACAAAAAGTATATATATATACATATATATATTATATTTATTAATAAATTTTATATAAAATATCATGAATTTTGTAAAGACTTTATTTTAATAACTTGGTTTATATTTAAAATAAATTTCTTTCCATTCATAAAATTCTTCTATTTTATGTAACTCTTCTATAACAATTTCTTTTCTATTATTATTATTATAAATCAGCATAGCTTTTTTATTAAAAAAAAAAAGATAATAAATAAATAAATAATTGAAAAGTTGTATAAAATTATATTTATTTAAGGAATTGTTTCAATTGTTACCATATGAATTACAAATGTTTATAGGAGAAATTTTATAATAAATATAATAAAAAAAATGAAAACATTTTAGATTATGAATATCCCACTTCCTATAAAAAAAAAAAAAAAAAAAAGGGGAAAAGAATAAAATATTAAAATAAATAAAACTTATAATGAAATAATAAAAAAAGTTAAAAAAAATATGTTTTTTTATTTTCTTTCATATATTTACTCAAAGAAAGGAACAAAATTTATAAACACTATAAACTAACAAAAAAAAAAAAAAAAATAAAATAATAATAAATAAATAAATAAATAAAAATTATTATGTAACACAGATACACTTTCTTAATAACTTATTTCTTAATGTGGTTATCTAATAATCAGATACCATATAAAATAGGAAAATTATTATGGTAATTAAGCAAACTAATGAAAATATCAGAATGTTGACAAAAACGTTAAACTATAAAAAATTATTAAAAGTTATATAATAATAATAAAAACTATGTTTAGATGTATTCTATAAAACATATATATTCATATTACTTTATAGAGAGTTGGAACATCTCTTGAATTTGAAAATAAGTTAAAAAAGGAATCATCAAAAGACGAAAAAAATAAAATTAGACAAATATATGAAAAAAAAAAATAATTGCATATAATATAGCAAGTTAAATGAATTGCTACAAAGAAAAAAGATGTATTTAATATATAAAATAGATAAAAATATAATTATAATTAATATAATAATTCAATATATATATATAATGTTTCAAATAATACTTACAAATAAAAATAATAAAAAAAAATATTCTCAAATTTGAAGAGCCAAATAAAAACCAAGAAAATAAGAACTAAAAAAAAAAAAAAAAAAAAAATAAATAAATAAAATAATAAGAATAATAACATATATATTGTTATATTAAATTTATACGAATACACTAGAGTAAAAAAAATTGTAATTTTATACCTCGGAAATAATAATTAACAAGCAAATTAATTTTTTGTTAGATTTACAATTAGCTATATCTAAAGTTATATAAAAAAAAAATGAATATATTTTTTTTTTTTTTTTTTTTTTTGCTTCATTATGCAAAAATATATATATAGGTATATATATATATATAAGAATAACGTGATAATGCTGAAGGAATTGGCTGAGATGAGAATAAATTTTGAAAAGCCTCTAAATGTAACCATTGAGTACTATTATAAACTTTAAAAAAATAAAATATGATATATGAATAAAATACATTAAAATATATATATATATATATATTTTTTTTTTTTTTTTAATTGTATTAATTACCAAATTTATGAACAGCTGAATTAAATATAATTTTAAATGCAATTAATCTAAGAACACATATTATTAATGTATTCGAATATCTTAAATAATAACTATCACTTAAATTTAAAAATATTAAAATAAATCCAAATTCATTCATTAATAAATCACTAAAAAAAAAATAAATAAAAGTAATATATTGGTTGATAAATTTCTTATTTTATGTTTTTTATTTTATACCATTGAAATATCATAAAATCTCGCATTACAATTTTAAAACACAGATGGAAAAAAAATAATAAGACAAATAGATAAAAAGATAAAAATATTCTAAAAATATCATTTTGTATATTTGTTTGAATTAAAAAGTTTAAAATTGATAAAAATATCCCAATTTTACAAATATAATGCACCTAATTTAAAAATAATTATTTAGTACACATATAAAAAAGTTGTTTATAATATTAATTTTATTTTATTTTTTTTACAAAATTTTCTCTTTTACTTTTATATTATTTATTATGATATATTTCCAAAATTTATAAACAAAATAAATTAATTGGTGAACTAAAAAAAAATCAATACTTTTTAGTTTTTTTTTAATCTCTTTTAGATACTTATCTACTGGTAAAATTCCATCTTTTACCCCTATTAATAACTCAACCTAAAAAATAGAAAAAAAAAAAATATTCATTTTTCATTAAAAATACATCAATATAATAAATTAAAATAATATACAATATGTGATAAATTTAACTATTATTATATTGTCTCTTTTTTTTTTTTTTTATTTATAACAAATTTAATAAAATAATGAAATATATAATATATTCTGTACACTATATTATTAGTAAAAAAAAAAAAAAAATAATATACTATTAAATTTTTATATATTTTTAGATGATACTTGAATATTTAATGAATAAAAAGAAATGAAATATAAAATGTTGGAGAATGTTAGAATACAGTGTGAGATTTTTAGGTGTAAATATTTATATAAATTATTTATGGTTGATAAAAAAAATATATATATAATAAAACATGTTATTATATAACAATTTTTTCTGGTTAACTTATATTTTTTTTCATTTTTTTCATTGAAATTATAACTGTCAACCTTACTATTAAAACTATTATATGTATCCATTATTTTATTATAACATTATATTTTCTTTATTTATTAATTTATATGCATATACTTTTCTTCATTATATATTTCCATTAAATAAATATTGTAAGAATTAAAATAATTTTTATATTTTTTTTTTTTTTTTTTTTAAATTTTCTATATTTAAAAGCATTATTTGTCATTAAAGGAAGAAAAATTGTAAATATTCGTTTAATTTATATTTTTTTTTTTTCTTTAAATTTAAAAGTAAATATTTTTTTTAAACTTTATTTTTTTAATTTTAAAAAGTCTATTATTAGAATAAAAAATTGAGAAAAACGAAAATAAGAAAATACATAAATTTGTAAGAAAAAAAAAATATATTTTAGACTAATATATTTATTCCATATATATCCAAAAATATCAAGAAATTTTTAAAGTTACTATTTATACACATAAAAAAAAAACAAAGGAAAATTCAAATGACAAAACAAGTAGATAAATTAAAAATATTTTACGTATTTTTTAAATATTTCACAATAAAATAATTAAAATTTCTTTTAAAAAATTGCGTGATAAAATAAAAAAAAATAAAATAAAATAAAATACAATTATACATAATAGAAGTTTATTTATAGTATTAAATGAAAGCAATCAAAATATAATTTAAAAAAAAAAAAAAAGTCACAATATTACATTTAATAAATTTAAATAGTGATCATATTTTCAGTTTGTAATTATTTTTTATATAAACTATATTAAAAGAATTTTATAAATCATATATCAAAAAAAAATTTATATAAAATAATAAAAAAGTAGTAAAAGTTAAACATATTAAAAAAGAAAAAAAAAAGAATATCTAAATTTTTGGCAAATATATAGTTATAAAAATAGATAATTCAGTTAGATTCGTTCTAATAAGAAAAAAAAAAAAAAAAAAAAAAAAAAAAAGGAAAAAAAAACAATTGAATAAAAAAAAAAAAAAAAAAGGATCATTTAAAAAATTAAATTAAGAAATTAATGCAATTTATGAAAAATATTACATATTTCTTAATTTATAATTTCAACTTACATTTAAATTTAATTTTACGTTTTCTCCTGGCTGAAATGCCGGTAGACCTAATATTTCCAAAAAAAATAAAATAAGGACATAATATAAAATTTTTAATAATGTATAATAAAAATAAATAAATAAATATATGAAAAAATTACCTTTATATGGACATGAAGCACACCTGAAAGCATCTCCTAAATAACACTATAAAAAAAAGAGAAATTAATAAAATTATATTAAAATAATATTTGTTACTTTTATATTATATATATTTATATATTACATTTCCACAAGAAGAAACTACATTCTCTGTTAAATACTCCACTTCATTTTCATCTATAGTTATTTTTTCTAAATTAATTCCATCTTTTTTTTTTCCACAAGTACAATTATCACAAACTCTATTTACAACTTTTTTTTTATCTTCTTCATTTTCATATAATTCTCCATCACTTGAATTTATACTATTCTCATCATCAGTAAAATCTGGATTTTCTGCAGTAATCTAAAAAAAAAAAAAAAAAAAACATAATAAAATATATTAAAGCTAATAAAAAAATATTTTTATTATTTATATACATTTATTATTATTCCATTTTTTTCTAAAGATGTATCGTTTGAAATATTTATAAATCCATTATATAAACATTCTTTTTTTAATTTATTTAAAACTTCATTGAAATTTTGATTATTATTTTCTTCCGTCATTTTATTATTTTTATTTAAATATATAATCAAATTTAATACTCCATTTTTATTTAAACATCTTTGAATCTTTTGTAGAATATTATTTTCAAATTCCCAAAAAAAAGAACAATTTTTGTAACTATATAAAAATATATTATTATATTTCTTGTATATTTTTTTTTTTTTAAAATTTAATACACTTATCGTTGGAACAAATAATTCTCTATACTTTTTCTTTAACAATTCACACGGAATATCATCATTTAATATTATTAAAGTATCCATAAAATACATCATTTTTGATTTATTTTTATTTTTTATTCCTTATTTTTCTTATATCCTTATGATAAATTTTTTCTTTTCATATTTTAACTTTATTTTTTTTTAATTTAAGAAAATATGTTTTTTTTACTCTTTTTTCTTGGATTAAAATTTTTAACTTTTGAATCAAAATTGTTTATGACCATAAGAATTTTTTAAAAAAATGTATAGCAACAAAAAAAAAAAAAAAAAAA